TCTGTGTCCCGTATCACTTCCGCTGTACTCCCTTGCATAGCTCCCTGCTGCTCTGCCCCTATCCCCGCCCATTTGCTGCTCTTCCTTTTCCCTGGCCACCTGCTGATCACTGTGATGTCAGGATATGTCTGGTCCTTCAGGATCTTCCATAGAAGACATCCACCTTGAATGGTCTTCAGGGTCCTCTAGGTAGATGGTTCCTCTAGTCCTGATCGGGGTCCTCCGTGTCACAAGGTATCGGGGGAGGTCTTATTTTCGGGGGAGGTCTTATTTTCATGGGAGGTCTTATTTTCGGGGGAGGTCTTATTTTCGGGGCAGGTCTTATTTTCGGGGGAGGTCTTATTTCCGGGGGAGGTCTCATTTTCGGGGGAGGAGTTGGCTGAACTCCTAAACCCATAAAGACGTTCCCGGGAAATGTTCCCCCATCCCCCAGTGACCGAGGAAAGCCGTTCCAGCTTCTGAGTTTTACCTTCCAGACGGTTCTTCAGCACCAGCGGTGGAGGAGGCGGAGACACAGAAACCCGATGGGTGGAGGAGGCGGAGACACAGAAACCCGATGGGTGGAGGAGGCGGAGACACAGAAACCCGATGGGTGGAGGAGGCGGAGACACAGAAACCCGATGGGTGGAGGAGGCGGAGACACAGAAACCTGATGGGTGGAGCTCCTTCCTCCTTAGGCAAAGCTCCGGGTACAGGAGGACATACTACCTATTCCACCCCCCCCATGACTCTAATCTCCAAGTCCGGAGGAACTCTGTGACCTTCACCCCGGAAACACCACAAAGTATAAGAATGGGGGAGAGAAGATCCCCACGTGGGAAGATGGAGCGTGCTCTCCCATCCGGGGACACCTGTAGGACCTCAGGCAGGACACTACTTACGTTCCTGGCACTCCGTGTCCTCCAGGCAGAAGCTGGCCTTGTGTCCCTCGGCCACTTTGGTCCCGTTTGACGTGAGCAGGTCATAGTGTGTGAAAATGTCCATGCTGTGGTAATGCCTGAGGAGACACACGCGTGTGAGAACATCATATGACAATGGCTTCAGTATACCAACCTCTCCTGTCACCGTGTCACCCTGCAGGGGGAGGGGCAGACTCATGGCTACCTTCTGTCTGTGTCACCCTGCAGGGGGAGGGGCAGACTCATGGCTACCTCCTGTCTGTGTCACCCTGCAGGGGGAGGGGCAGACTCATGGCTACCTCCTGTCTGTGTCACCCTGCAGGGGGAGGGGCAGACTCATGGCTACCTTCTGTCTGTGTCACCCTGCAGGGGGAGGGGCAGACTCATGGCTACCTCCTGTCTGTGTCACCCTGCAGGGGGAGGGGCAGACTCATGGCTACCTCCTGTCACCGTGTCACCCTGCAGGGGGAGGGGCAGACTCATGGCTACCTCCTGTCTGTGTCACCCTGCAGGGGGAGGGGCAGACTCATGGCTACCTCCTGTCTGTGTCACCCTGCAGGGGGAGGGGCAGACTCATGGCTACCTCCTGTCTGTGTCACCCTGCAGGAGGAAGTTAGGCTCTTAGGGGGAGGTGCCTCCACCCCCGCGGTTTGGTGTAGATGAAGGAGCCAATCTATGTTCCTCGTTCGGTTTCCGTGGCAATCACATGGCCGGTGTGGATTTTATTTGGGGAAAGGACTGTTGCTGAGGCCCCCGGAGTGAAGCCCACGTGGGCCGGATGTTGGGGGGTCACAGCGTCCATCTTTGTCCGCTTACCCGTGGCATTCGTGCCACACCCAGGAGTGTCTGCCCGCCTTGGGCCGGAAGTCCGCCCGCCCGTTGTTGTGTATCTGGGAGGAGAAGCGCAGGAGCCGGCGGTGGCCGTACGGCCAGTTGGCATTGCGAGCGGTGCTGGACAGACAATTCTCTTCGGCGGCGCAGTACAGCATGTGCAGGGGCCGGTCCTCAATGTACGCCGTCTCCTGGACCAGAGCCGCGTGAAGGACCAGATCAGAAGCAGCTGGCGAGAAGAAGTAACATGTTACATGTATGTTTCATGGTATGTTCATTGAATGTGAATCATCAGCCCCATAGGACCTCCAATACAACCTCCCGTATCCCAGACACCTTCCATTATCCGGCGTCTACTGCAACCCATGCGTCCCCAACTGCGTCCTCCTCCACATAGACCCA